AGCAAGGTTATGATCTCCGCCTTCTTGGTATTGTAGGTCTCTAACGAGCTGGCATTATGTTTATTCTCTGAAATTCAGTTCTTCCAATCTTTTGTTGTATTTTGGAGGGGAGAGAATCCCGGGTCAGCTCACCCTGCCATTTTGCTCCGCCCACTCTCTCTCCTTCTAGCTTGTTCTTTTTAACAGCTGCATAGTATTCTCTTTTTTTGGAGGTACAGTTACCTAGCTAGTCCTGTCCTGAGAGGCACTCAAGCTGTTTCCAGTGCTTTTGCTAACACAAAACGAAGAGCAGTGAACAATCTTGGGCTTATTTCTTTATATATTCAAATTATCTTGTGGGATTGATTTATATACACAGAATGGCTAAGTCATAGGGTATGTTGTGTTTCATTTTGTTTTTTTGGGGTTTTTTTGGTGAGGAAGATTCACCCTGAGCTAACATCTGCTGCCAAGCCTCATCTTTTTGCTTGAGGAAGAGTGTCACTGAGCTAACATCTGTGCCCATCTTCCTCTATTTTGTGTGTGAGTCACAGCATGGCTTGAGCAGTGCACATGTCTGCACCCGGGATCCAAACCCGCGAACCCTGGGCCACCAAAGTGGAGCACGTGAACTTAACCACTATGTCACCGGGCCAGCCTCAGGTATATGTGTTTTTACACTGTATTTAATGATCATCATATTTCTCTCCAAAAAGTGAACCAATTTACACTCCCACGATATCATTTATGAGCATGTCTCCCTGACACACACTTGGCAGCACTTGATGTTAGCAATCAGCTTCAGTTTAGCTACTCTCTCCCTGATTTGAAACCTCATTTGCACCCAGAGTCCATCTAGCTACAGACAAGCAGCCCCTTCTCTAACTAAATGTCTGATCTGGGCAAATTACATCTTTGATCCTCAATCAGCTCAAAGTGGGGATAAATGCCTTCTTTTCAGGTGTTTATAAAAAGGAGAAAGACTGTGCATAAAGCACTTACCACACAGGGGGAGTTCAATGAGCCACAGTAGCAGCTACAAGCTTTGCTACAAGTAGCATTGCTACAAGCCATGCGGCAGTGAAGTAGCAGTTTCAGATCTCTGGTGTAAAGGAGGAGACAAGAAGCAGGACTCCGTGAGCTCAGGGCAAATGTGCTGCCAGATTACCAGCATCTCCTGAGAACCCCATTCGACTCATGGAATTTGAAATCAGACACCTGGGGCTCACATCCTGGCCCAACCACTTACTCATTCTGTAGCACTGGTTCAATTACATAGTCCTGCTGTGCCTCGGTTTTCTCATCTCTGAAGTGGGGATGAGATGATAATAACTATGACCTCATTAGGGTTCAACTAGTTAATATACAGGAGGTAACACAAAGCAGCGCCCGGCATTCATTCAGCACTACATAAGTGCTGCTATTATTACTGCTCCTCTCTCTCTGCTCCTTCCTCCCGTGCTTCACCCACAGCCCTTCAAGAGGGGAGAGAAAGAACAGGCAGCTAGCCGCCCTCTGTCTTTAAAGCCAATTGAGTGTAAAAAGTCAAGGACTGGAAAGCAGGAGACGTAGGTCCCAAACAGGCTCCAAAAAAATTACCTCAATGACCTTGAGCAAAGTCCATGCCCTTCTCCATGACGGCTTCCTCCTCCATTAAACAGGATAGAGGTGGCCTCTAGACACAAGTCATTGGGAAGGGTCCAGATCCAGACTGGGCATCCCTTCCCTGCCACCCAGGTCCCTGAAAAGAGCCTGAGGCTGAGCTGGGTGCCACAATCCGGCCCCAACATGATGGCAGAAGAACGTGACTGCATAGAGCCTGGTCTGGGCAAAGGAGAGGGACCGCCTGCCTGTCTGGAGGATTCTACCCCAGACCACCTGGCCCGGAGCCTCAGGCTGGAAATCAGCATTCCTGAGTGTGAGCCCTCCTCGCGGGTGACCTCACGCTCGGGCTATTCCCTCTCTCAGAGTCAGAGCCCGAGGGGAGGGAGGTGTGTATCCAGGAGGTGCCGCCATTCTTTTGTTTCCAGACCTTTCTCAGCTGCAAACAATTCGGGGTCAGAAAAGCATCCTGTGCATCCGCTAGTTGGTGTCCCTAGACAGTGACTTTCCATCTCTCAACACCAGTCCCCTCTTGTAGAAAATGATCACAGCACCTGCCTGTCAGGGTTCTTATAAAGAAAACCAATTAGGGTGCAAGGAACAAGAATAACCCGAATCAAATGGTGTAACCCATACGGGATTTTTTTGGTTATTCCACTTACAAAACAGGCCATATGTAGGGCAGGCTCGACTATTTATAGCCTAAAACAGTCCCAGATGTTTTCCTATTTCTTTCCTTTTTACACAGAAGGGGGAAAGAAATACACAAGAATAAAGTGGAAGTTACCCGCTGCCACCCCTTTATTTGTTAGTTACAGAAAGCAAGAAATGAAAGTTTTCTGAACCCAACTCCTACAGGTAATTACTGCGCAGAATTTGTGGCATATTTTTTCAGACTTTTTTTTCTATCCACCTACAGACAATATCTATAAGTGTTACAGATAGAAAGAAATACAAATACATTTTAACCCAAATGAAACCATGCTATATATACATGTTGATTTTCAAACTAGTTTGAGTTTCTCTAGAGCGGTGATTAAAAATTCGTATTTGTGGGGCTGGCCCCGTGGCCGAGTGGTTAAGTCTGTGCGCTCCGCTGCAGGTGGCCCAGTGTTTTGTTGGTTCGAATCCTGGGCACGGACATGGCACTGCTCATCAAACCACGCTGAGGCAGCGTCCCACATGCTACAACTAGAAGGACCCACAACGAAGAATATGCAACTATGTACTGGGGGGTTTTGGGGAGAAAAAGGAAAAAAATAAAAATCTTTAAAAAAAAAAATTTGTATTTGTAATCCACAGGGACAGATGGCAGGTTGGTGGCTGCCAGGGGCTGGGAGGAGAGAAGGTCGGGGAGACTGTTTCATGGGCACCAGGCTTCCATTTGGACTGACCAACAAGTTCCAGAACCGGATAGTGGTGGTGGTTACACAACACTGTCAATCTACTTAACGCCACTGAGCTGTATGCTTTACAATGGTTAAGTAGGTCATGGGTCAATTTCTAATTAATGTGTATTTTACAACAATTTTTTTAAAATAAAAAAAATTATATGCCTACAGAAGACAGAGAGAAAAGGCAAATGAGCGAAGAAAGACAGGTGAAGGGCAAGGAGGAGGGATGGGACCTGGGGTGAACTGAAAGGTCAGGCTGGGGATCGCTAAGCAGCCCAATCAAGGGTCACCGAGGGGGAATGTGGGCCCAGTGTTATCACGTATTAGGATTTTTTCATGACAAGCCAGAAATGTGCATTTTATGTGAAAACCACCAATTTAGGTATGTGGCAAGTAAGTGACGTTTTTAAAATCAGAGCGTGGGCACGCAGGTTCCCAACGTACAAGTGTGGCAGCAGGTCACCTTCAGGGTTCAGCCAGCCTGCTCTAGGAATGTGGTTCACAGGGACAGGGGCCAGGCGCAAGGAGGTGGCCCGGGGGGCGACACACTGCCAGGGATACAGTCAGCTCCGCACTGTGGAAAACGGAACCAGCCCCCTCACATACACTGGAGCACGGAGCCCCTCCCTCCGGGGTTTGGATTATGTTCGTCAAGCATTGGCCCCTCCCACTTCTGTAGTGGGCGGGGTTTGCTGTCTCCGCCCACTTGCTGGTGGGCGTGGCCTCATGACTGGCTTTGGCCAATGGAATGTTAGCAGACGCCACGGTGCACAAAGCAGCTGGCTTGACTCTCACCCCAGCGATGCTCTTGAGAAAAGCGTGTCCGCGTAAAAGCATCTCTTCCACCTGGGCCCCAGCGTGAACGCATACGGAACAAACGTCAAACCAATCCACAGCCTGGAACCAAGTCCAGCCAACAAGGGGCCTGACGTAGAGCCACCCAGTGGAGCCCACTCCAGATCAGTCACACCGCAGGGGGGACCTCAGCCCGGCGATCATGAGGCTAAATGTCTGCTGAAGCCGCCGAGTTTGTGGGTAGACTGTTAACCCGAGTTACCGAGGCAATAGCTGACATACGCCACAGTCAGGAACTAAATGATGTGTAAATTCTGCCCCAAACCCGGTCCCGTGGTGCTCCAACGTTTTGGTATTAGACTGTGTTTACACTCTTAAAAATTATTGAGGACCCCAATGAGCTTTTCCATATGTGAGTTCTATCTGTCAATATTTACTGTATTAGAAATTCAAACCGAGAAATGTTTAAAACACAAGAATACTCAACATCATTAGCCATCAGGGAAATGCAAATCAAAACCACGGCGAGATACCGCTTCACACCCACTAAGATGGCTATAATCAAAACGATAGTTGGGGACAGCCTGGTGGCATACCGGTTGAGTTCAGGCACTCCACTTCAGCCTCCCAGGGTTCACTGGTTCAGATCCCGGGCACAGACCTACACACCGCTTATCAAGCCATGTTGTGGTAGGTGTCCCACACATAAAGAAGAGGAAGATGGGCACAGATGTTAGCTCAGGGCCAGTCTTCCTCAAAAAAATAAATAAATAAAAATAAAAGATAGATAATAATTATTGGCGAGGATGTGGGAAATGGCAACCCTCATACACAGCTAGCAGCAATGTAAAATGGTGCAGCCACTTTGGAAAACAGTCAGGTAGTTCCTCAAAAAGTTGATTATAGAGTTACCACGTGACCCAGCAATTCCATTCATAGGTATATACTCAAGAGAAGCAAAAACCTACAACCACACAAAAGCTTGTACACAAATGTTCATAAGCAGCATTCTTTGTAATAGCCAAAAAGTGGAAACAACCCAAAAGTCCCTCAACCAATGAATGGATAAATACAATGTGGTATGTCCAGGCAATGGAATATTACTTGGCAACAAAAAAGAATGGAGTATGGATACATGCTACAATGTGGATGAACCTTGAAAACATTCTGCTAAGTGAAAGAAGTCAGTCACAAAAGACCACATATTGAATAATTCCATGTTATATGAAACGTCCAGAATAAGCAAATCTACAGAGAAGAAAGTAGATTAGTTGCTGCCATGGGGCTATTGGGTGTGGAACAGGGAATAATTGTCAATGAGCGTGGGATTTCTTTTTGGGGTGATAAAAATTTTCAAAAACTGATTGTGGTAATAGTTGCACAACTCTGTGGATATGCTAACAATCATTGGATAGCACACTTTAAACGGGCAAATGTGAATTATATCTTAATAAAGCTTTTATTAAAAAACATACACACAAGAATACCTACGCACACATTCCATTAGCCGGCAGAGCAAGGACATCATCACTGAGTGCTCATGGAAGAATGACAGTGAAAGGTGCAGAGAAGTCCTAATATTATTATAGAAATAGTACTGAGAGGGTCCCCAGCCCACACATTGAGAACCACCGCTCCAGATCCTGGGGGAACCAGGATTAAGGTCCCCAGGACACGTGTCTTTTGGGAACCGTGGGGTTAGGGTCCCCGTCCCCGCCCCTCCATGGTTATCAGTTCTTAGACCATTCTCAGTTCCTGCTCCATGGAGATGAGTGCTCCAAGGGGACCCTCAGCATCCCCTCAGCCTTTCTGCCTACTGGAAAGTTATCAGGGAAGGCTGCCTGGAGGAGAGGCCACCAATTCTGAGTCTTGACAGAGAAAAAGAGCCAGACACAGAAAAAAAGGAAGGGGCTCCCTGGCAGAAGGACTGTCTACTCTGGATGCGGAATGACGAGGTGTGCCACCTCGTCCCCAAGCACGCTGAGCTCTTCTCTTGCTCTCCCCTTGTGCTCACTTTCGCTTGTTCTTAACAAGAGCGATGGTCATTCCTGCTCCCGCTGTCTAATGCCTCCTTTACATGCTTGGTGGCACTTCATCTTTGCCACAATTCCGGGGGTAACTGCTGGGTTAGCCTATTTCACAGCTGAAGACTCTGAAACCTCAGAGACATGAAGTAACGCACTCGAGATGGCACAGCTGACTTTCAAACAGGAAGAGAGTTCTGTTATATTTGTCGCTATTCTCTCAGACTCTGTGCCAGAAACGTAGAATCAGGATCAAGTGGGCTCTCAGTTTATTAAGCAGATTCTTGAACTTATCTCCATGATTAGTCCAGACCTTCCTGGAAACAACACTTAGACCTCGCTCATTTTGCTGAGCAAGCACTGCATGCTAGGCGTGTGCTTAGCATTTTACACATATCACTTCATTTCGTCTTCACAGCAAGCCTAGGGGACGGGTACTCTTATTAACCCGCTATACGGAAGAAGAAACTGAGGGACAGAGAAATGCTTTGCTCAATACTTTGCACACCTGGTAAATGTCAGAGCCGGGGTTTGACTTCAGCCAGGTCACGCTTTCAACCACACTGTACGGTGCCCTGGAGCGTCTGAAAGAAGTGCAAGAATATGCAATTTTTGCCAAGAAGTCCACAGTCAGCCTCTGGGGTCAGCTGAGTGACACCCCCCAAAGACGGCCCTGCGCTAATTGCCAGGACCTGGGAATATGCTTCCTTACCTGGCAACAGGGACATTGCAGATGTGGTGAAGTTAAGGATCTTGAGACGGGGAGATTATTCTGGATCATTCTGCTGGCCCAGCGTCATCACAAGGGTCCTTATAAGAGGGAGGCAGGAGGATCAGAGTTTGAGAGAGAAGAGGGAAGGATGGAAGCAGAGGTCAGAGAGCAAGAAGATGCTATGCGGCTGGCTTTGAAGGTGGAGGCAGGAGCCACGAGCCAAGGAACGCGGGCAGCATCTAGAAGGCTGGAAGGGCAAGGAAATACACTCTCCACTAGAGCTCCCAGAAGGAATGAGCCTGGCCAGCCTTGATTTTAGCCCAGGGAGAGCCATTTCTGGCCTCCAGAACCGTAAAATAACAAATTCAGGTTGTTTTAAGCCCCTGGGTTTGTGGCAATTTGTTACAGCGGCAACGGGAGATGAATACAGTCTCTTAGACGGGAGGGGCCAATTTGCCTCCCCCACCAGACCCACAGAGCTAAGGAGTCTCGCAAAAGAGAAGAAATGTTTGGCTCCCGGGTGGACAAAAATTGTCAAAGATCCACCCCCCCAGGTCAAGGGGAACTTTTGTGTTTCCTGTAATATTTGCTTGTCTCCTAAGAACGCACTCACATCCATCAAATGGATGGCTAAAGCCTGAGGAGAAACAAGACTTGTACGGTCTCAAAGTGTCTCCCCTAAAACGTTTATTAACTACAAAGGGGAAGTCAGTAACCTCACAGGGGAGAAGTGCAGCAGACAGTGCTAGAACCACGTGATCAAGGTCAACATTGCCAGCAACAAGGCACGTGGACATGACAAATCGCCTGATACAATGCACCGGGAAGGACGCGACATCATTCGTGTGGGATTCTTGGCAAAAATGCAGAATTTCATTTCAACCATGAAAAACATCAGACAAACCCAAACGGAGGGACATTCTATCGAACAGCCGATCAGTACTCTTCAGAAGTGTCAAGGTCACGAAAGACGAGGACGTGCAGAGGAACTGACGCAGACTCTAGGGGGCTAAGGAGACACGACAGCTAAACGCGGTGTGGGGTCCAGGATTCGATCCCGGAACAGAAAAAGGATATCAGTAGAAAAGCGGCTAAAATTCAAATCAGGTTGGTGGTTTAGTTATTAATATGGTACCCGTGTTAATTTCCTGGGTTTGATCATTGTGCTATAGCGTTCACGTGAGGGCGAGCAGGGTGAGACCCATGGGACGTCTCTGTACTATCTGTGACTTTTCTCTAAGCCTGAAATTATCTAGCATTGCAGCATGTACCTTGCTCTGAGTCCACGTGCTCTGGCGGAAGCCAGATGCGTGTGGTGAGGACACTATGGAGACGGCCACATGGGGAGGAACTGAGACCTCCTGCCAGCAGCCAGCACTGTCTTCCAGGTGTGTGAAGAACCCAACTTGGAATGGGATCCTCCAGCCCCAGTCAAGCCTTGTGATTGCAGCCCTGGCCGACGTCTTCAGTGCCCGGGTTTCCAGCCAGAACCGTCCAGAGAAGAAAACCTGACCCACAGAAAGTGTGTGTGATGATAAACGTGTACTGTTTTGAGCCGCCTTTTTGGAGAAAATATTGCTGTTATGAACAGTGGCCACCAGATGGCGCCTGGATTCCAAGGATGGAAACGAGGACACCGCCAACATTATAAAGAGGTCAATTGTTCCTGAGTTAGTTTATAAATGTATTGCAATCCTAACAAAAATGTCATCGGGGTTTTTTTTTCTAGAGCTAGACAATTTGATTATAAGGTTCATTGGGAAGTAAGACAGGCAAAGATCGGGGGGAAAAGGGAAAAAGGAAGAGGAGGAGAAAACAAAGAAGTAGCTTTACCTGATACTAAAAACAAAATAAAACGACGTGTTATTGGTGCATGACCAAGCATACAGATCAAGGCAAGGATCGAGAAACCCAGAAATAGAAACAATTGCCTATGGAAACTGACGTGATCGTCTAATGGTTTTTAATTTAAGAAGGGGTTTCAGGGAAGTTTTTAATTTAGTTGTGTTGGAACAACTAAATAACCAAAAAGAAAAGCTTGACTCCATTCCCCACCCTGGAAACCAGATAAATTCCAAGTGTGTCAAAGATCTAGGTGAAAAAATACAACCTCGCAAATAAAGACAACCCTGGTGATGAGCCGGGTGTGGGGTGAATTTTCCAAACTATTACTCAAAAGTGAGGAGCAATAAAAGAGAATTTTGCTAAATGACCAGACAAAAATGAAAACCTTTTGCAGATCCCAAACTTAAACCCACCATACGCAAACCGAAAACTCCGGATAACAAAATGAGAACAATGTTTGCAACTTACGTCACAGACAAAGGGTCAGTATTGCTAAAATATAAAGGATGTCTAAAAAGTGAGGGAAAAACACCAAGAAACCTCTTGAAAGTGGGCCAGATATATAAATAGAGAGTTTACATAAAAAGAAATGCAAATGTCCCCCACAGATACAAAAATATGCTCAACCTCACGCATCGTTTTTTAAAAACCGCAAGTTAAAACTACACTGAGACCCTTTTTCTCATCTATCAGATGAGAAAAAAAACCCAGTGTGTGACAACACCCTGGGGAAACAGGTCTGTCACACCTTCCGGGTGGAATGTGGAAAGGCAACACCTCCACAATCTGGTGCCATCTAGCAAATTTACCCCTTGAGCCAGCAATTCCACTTCTAGGATTCCATTGCAAAGACACGTTGACGGAAAAATGAAATGCCCTATGAACGAGGCTCTTCACTGAGACTATTTGTGATACCAAAAAACTGGAAACTACTGAGGTGGCCATAAATAAGGACGAACTAAACCAACTATGCTATATCCACAAAAATAGAATACTACACTGCTGTAAAAAGACTAAGATATACGAGGATTATATATACACAAGATGTGTGTGTCTGTACACGTGCGTGTGTGCAGTGACCGCCAAGATATAGTCAAGTGAAAAAAGCAAGGAGTAAACTGGTGCACGGTCTGCTATTTTTGTGCTATCAAGAGGCGTAGGGTCTCCCCTGGTCATCTGGGACCCGGCACCGGGGGGATTAGGGCAGGTGGGAGCGGCCTGGAGCAGGAGACTGAGGGAGAGGCCGTGGGGCGTCCGCTCTGGATGGGTTGGTTTGTGTTTGGCTGTGCTCACGGGTGAATCACTTACTGTCTTTGGAACTGGCGGGTCCTGGCAGGGGCAGTCCATGCAGCATCAGCAAGGCCCCAGGTGTCAAAGCATCAGAATCCAGAAAAAAAAAAAGACCAGATTAATACACCTCCTTGGCTTCTCTGCTCCACTTGACCCACCTTCTTGGTCCTCCCTTGTCCCTCACTTTCTGTAACTTCTCACCCTCCCAGCTCTCCTCCCACCACACCGCCTGTCCCTTCTGAGTCTTCTTCTCGTGCTGCTTGTCTCCTTGGGTAGACGCATCCAGGCCCGTGGCTTCTGCTGCCACCTAGATGCTGATCGTGCCCAAAGCCGCATCTCTATGCAGACCCCTCTCCTCAGCTCAAGACCCGGTAGCCAATGGCTTACGGGATGTCTGCCCCTCAGTGTCTCAGTGGGAACCTCACCAAATGCAAAAGCAAATAGATCACCTCCACCACCAGCCCGCCACCCCTCCTCCTAGAGAGCCTGCATTTTGTGAAGGGGCGCCACAATCCACCAGGCGGGACCCGGGAGCTGTCCTGGCCCCCTCCGTCCTCCCAAACAGTAATCAAGACCTTTCAAATAGCTTCTGTCTGTCAGCTCTTCTCCACCCCACTCCCACTGCTCTGCTTGGAGAGTCCTCATCTCTACCGTGTATAACTGCAGTGGGCTCTGGGTCCGTCGGGGTCCAGGGAGGAGAGAAGAACCACGCCAGTAACTTTAACAGAGAGAATTCAACACATGGAACATAATAGTGGAATTATAGGACATATGGAATTGCCAACTTGGTACACAGTTATCTAGATGATGAAAGGGTAAAGTGAGACTCTAAGGCAGCGGTTCTTAAACATCGCAGAATTCCCTGGAACACTTGTTAAAACACAGGCTGCTGAGCCTGACACAAGAGTCCCACTGGTCTGGGATGGGGCGTGGAATGCTCCACTTCTAACAAGTTCCCAGCTGACGCTGCTGGTCTGGGGACCACCCTCTGAAAACCACAGCTCTATGGAAGTAGCAACTGTAGGAAGCAGCTACTGATGTGGGTTCAGTGAGCCGAGGAGTCGAAAGAAAGATTTTTGGGCTCTCAAGGTCTGGTCGTAGTGGTCCTTTATTCAGAGAGTAGCATGGGGACAGGACCCATGGGCAGGGAAGGGATGCAATGTGTTAAGGGTAGGGCTAAATTTATAAGGCGTAGATATGGGAATTATTTCTTTACAGGACAAAGGAAAGATCATGTAAAAAAGTTGTTAAAATGGTATCAGTGCAGGTGGGGTCTGGCTATCGGGTGGTCCTATAACTTTGGATATGAATCAGGTCAATTAGGTCAAAACATCCTGTGCTTCCGGAGGATGATATAGATTGGTGTGTAGCCCAGGACGCCTTGGGCTTCTCTCCCTGGGGCAGCCTTGATCCTCATCAGCCATCACTCCTGGAGCTGGAGGAACAGAGATGCTGAGGAAGGGGCACCAGCCGGCTGGCGCTGATGTTTCTGATGAAACTGGGTCTGTGAGTGTTAGAAATCTACAAGCTGGGTTCAGCTGCTGCTGCTGCTGCCGCCGCCGCCACAGTGAAGACGTGTTGCTGGGGTGGTGCTCACGAGAACAGCAGGCAAGTCCCTTCCACATAAGGCGACCAGCCATCCGGTCGGGGCGGGGGGGGGGGGGGGGTGTTCACAGGAGGGAGAACTTTCAGTGCTAAAACTGGGGACGTCCTGGGCAAACCGGGACGAGTTGGTCACCCTACTTCTGCCGTCTCCTAGCAAACCCAATTGCCAGGGTCTAACACTGAGCCATCTGGCACAGCAGAAACGTGGCTTGTCAGCTCAGCAGCACAAAGCAGCGCCTAGGAGGGTGGGCTGGGGGCTCAGAGACCGAAACTTGGTAATTGACACTGACCCCTAGTGATCTTCCCGGGCTTCTGCAATCCATGCTCGGGACTGCCATCAAGAGAAACTTTATAAATAGGTCAAACTCATCATTTCAGACTCTGGCCAAAAATTTTTCAATAGCTGCCTGGGATATTGTGACAAGAGATTTTCAAATATTTGTTACCGCACAAAGGGCACGGTCTGCTCACCGTGAGATAAAAGCCAATCGTCAAGAGGCAAGATGGCGGCAGAGAAAGGGCATCTTATTCCAGCTTGCTAGCAAGAGGGACGATGGCTGACTAATGTCCAAAAGAACCATCTTAAGGAGGCACAGAATCTGGAAGCAGTTATGTAGGCCGGTGGGTCACAGGGGAGGGGGTTAGGAATGTTGACCCTCTGGAGTTACAGACTGGGAGCTGCCACACCAGATCTCTCCATTGTCCTTGATGATGGCTGTGAGCATAGACTCTCTGTTTGGGGGTCATCACGTTCCTAAGGAACTCAAAAGAACGAAGTTATTGTCTTATTGCAGCTGGGAGGTATATGCACTAGCAGGGGTCATAAAACCTACAGAGCAGGTGGATCTCCTGGAGGGTGCAACCCAGCTGGGTCAGTTAGTCAGAGGTCATTCAAAGTTACAACGTGGTCTCTTTTCTACAATATGGCGTCCCTTACGTCAACCTTGTGTTGAGCTGGTTTCATACTGAGGCACATGGGGTAGCTATTCTGGTTCAAAATGGATTCAGCTTGAACTAAGGAAACCTGACTTATGGCCTATCGAACATACACTGTACATCTGCTTCAACCTTTAAAGTAAAGAATGCGTTAGACGTTATCTCAAAGTAAAAGGATGCACGTTCTAAGACAAGAATGTATACTTCCCCTCCTAGTACTCTTGAAGATAAATGGTTCAAGTTGACCTACTAATTTACAACTGAAAACCTCTTCGAAACTTTGATGAATATGTATCCTGGCCGTGTTTAATGTATGTTCTTTGTTCTAAAAAATGTACGAATCTGTTCTGAAAACCATGCTTCTTCTGGCTGCTTTCTTCCTTTGTGGACACTGGTTTCCAGATTATAGTCCTCAAACCGGGCTCAAGTAAAGGTCACCTCATCTCTCTCATCTGTAGAATAGTTATTGGTTATTTTGTGTTGACAACTGTGATTTATAATCAGAAATACATATTTGGTCTTTGCCCCCTTTCCAGAGAGCTCCTAAAACCCTTGGATTTCCTAAATGATGAGTAATAAAAGTGAAAGGTGTGTCTTTTATTATTCATACCAAGCCCCTTTCAACCACACTTGAGTTTATGTTAACTCAGCGACTTTTGAAAGCCCCTGAGGATGGGGACTGGCTGCCAGCAAACCAACCAAGGGGTTCCTGGATTGGAACTTTCAGCCCCGCCCCACCCCCCCGACGTTTGGGGAGGAGAGAGAGACTTGAGGTTGAGTTAACCACCAATGGCCAATGATTTAATCAATGGTGCCTATGGAATGAAGCCTCTATAAAAAACCGAGGGGTTCAGAGAGCTTCAGGTTGGTGGACATACGGAGGTGCTGGGAGGGTGGTGCGCCCACTGAGTCCCTCCCCTGACACCTTGCCCTGTGCATCTCTTCCATCTGGCTATTCCTGAGTTATATCCTTTTAGAATAAACCAGTAATCTAGTAAGTAATCTGTTTTCCTGAGTTCCGTGAGCTGCTCTGGCAAATTATCAAACCCAAGATGGAGGTCATGGGAACCCCCAACTTGTAGCCAAGTTGGACAGAAGTTTTGGGTAACCTGGGGACCCACTACTTGTGGGTGGCATCTGAGAGTGAGGGCACTCTGCGGGACTGAGCCCTTCACCTGTGGGCTCCTGCCACTCCAGGTAGATAGTCTCAGAACTGAAGTGAATTGTAAGACATCCAATTGGTGTCCCCAGAGAATTGGAGAATTTCTTGATGTGGGAAAAACTTCCACACATTTGGTGACCAAAAGTAAAGTGTTGGGGGTAGAGTGGCAAGTGAAGGGAGAAATAGAGTTTTTCCTTTTCACTGCCTACCTGCCAATTGGGGTGAAATTCAACTTTTTTTTTTTTTAAAGATTTTATTTTTTCCGTTTTCTCCCCAAAGCCCCCCGGTACATAGTTGTGTATTCTTCGTTGTGGGTTCTTCTAGTTGTGGCATGTGGGGTGCTGCCTCAGCGTGGTCTGATGAGCAGTGCCATGTCCGCGCCCAGGATTCGAACCAACGAAACACTGGGCTGCCTGCAGCCAAGCGCGCGAACTTAACCACTCGGCCACGGGGCCAGCCCCGAAATTCAACTTTTAATGCAGCATAAAAGGCTCTTCAAGGTTATCTTCTTACAGCCCAGCCTCATCTTCTTTCCTGAACTTTATGTTCCAGAAATCTATAAATCTTTGGGTTTCCTAAAGCAAATTATATTCTCAAGTTTCTATGCTTTGAAGATACTACTCCCATATCTGGATGATAAAGCATATAAACCCCTTTTTGAGAGGAAAACATAAAATCGGAATATGTGCTTTCTCTTTAAGAATGGAAGTTAGCTTTCAATCATTAAAGTGTTAGCTGGATTCAAAGGCCAAAGAAAATCTCAAAGCAAATATATTTCTGAATTCCACAGTATTTTCTGCTCTCAAACTCTGACACTCAAGGAGAAAACAGATAAGAACACTTCCAGTGCTAATGAAACTTGTTAGTTTTTCTTTCCTGTTAAAGATATTTATACTTGAATCCTTTTCAAGGCTTGAAACATTTTTAGATGAATCCCATAAATGAAAAGCAATGGTTGGTTTGAAAATTAGAGACGGTTTATAAAATTCTATTGAACCCAGGCAGCTGAGGGTCACTGTAAATGTTGAATAAGAACACGATTACCCTTCCACCTTGTTCCCAACACAGACACAGAGGAAAAGAAGCTAATCTTGTTAATTTGTTGTTTTCTTGTCTAACCTGAGGGGTGACTCAAGCGTCACAAGGATTGATGATCTTGTTTTACAGAAGAAGAATAACGCCTTCAAGGATCACCAGATAACCAGCCCCCAGCTGCCCCTGAGGCCCGGAAATCAGGTGGCCCAAGGGCTTATCTGCAGTGAAAGATACACAGACTTTCCCTTTGTTTCTCCAAAACTCCTCCTGCCGAGCCCCTTAGCTCTATAAAACCCCCTGCTTTCTTTTCCTGTTCTGGCAGATTTGAGAGTACCTATGCTCCCACCTTCTCATTTTGGCCCATTCGAATAAACCTTTCTCCATCTTCAGGCACCAATGTCTCAGTGATGGGCTTATTATGCATTGGGCACACGAACTTGAGATTAAGAGGTTCGGTATCACTCTGTCTCCCCAAATGCACCCAGCTGACCAGCTAGCTCTGTTAACTTCTTGTGTGTTGCCCAGAAACAAATGTTCTTCTCCAAAAGAAAGACCACTGGCTTGTGCCAGGAGAGCTAAGAGCCCCTCAGTCACAGCATCCTCCATCTCTCCAACTCTTGCTGTGAAGTCGTTTGAAAAACCAGAGGAACTCTCCCAGGCCTTGCGAAAGGGCTAATCAAGTGGGGCCCAGCGCTGGCCTTGAGCTCCTTAGTGGCCAGGGCCACTTAAAGGAGCAGCAAGGCAGAGCCGCCCTCTGGGTGCTCTCTGGTCGACAGCCCAGGCCCTACTGGTTGCAGCTCTGCTCCCCACGCATGCAGCTGCAGGACTGCATGAATGCAGGGTCCTACCTCAGCAGCAAAGCAGCATCTCCCTGTGGCCCAGCTTGCTCATGTCGAGGAAGCCTGGAACTCTCAGGAACCTAGCCGTAACGGAGACCACTGTGCCTTGTGAGGCCAGCTTGCTTGGTTACAAAAGGTGAAGGCTGCTGTCAGACCTCCTCTGGCACCTCCCTGGGGAGGACTGAGGTTAAGGGCAGAGGAGCGCTTCCTGGGTGACAGGAGGGTCACCAGCCTGGTGACCAGAGCTGACAGATATCTCCTTGCTACAAATGCACTTAAGCTGGTGTATCAGTTTGCTAGGGCTTTGCCATAACAACGTACCACAGCCAGAGTGGCTTAACGACAGAAATGTATTGTCTCACAGTTCTGGAGGCTGGACGTCCAAGATCAAGGTGTTGCCAAGGTTGGTTCCTTCTGAGGCCTGCGAGGGAAGCACCCATGCCAGGCCTCTCTCCTCGGCCTATAGATGGCCATCTTCCCCCGTGCTTCCTCGCATCCTCTTCCCTCTAGCCAGCCTGTGTCCAAATGCCTCTTCGTATGAGAACACCAGTCATACCAGACAGGGACCCACCCTAACGACCTCATTCTAACCTGACTCCTCTCTAAAGACCTGTCTTTCAAATCAGGCCACAGTCTGAGGTACTGGGGCTTAGGACTTCACTATTTGAATTTGGGGTTGAAGGGGACACAATTCAACCATCACAGCCAGTCTGGCCGTTTATAGTTATTAGAGATGGCAGTCACCTCCAGTAACTGAGAGCTCTAGGTCTCTACCCCACGACCTCACCGCCAGGGAGCGTGCTACATCAGAACAAGGCTTGGTCCAAATTCTGCCGCAAATATAGCCCTGATTAGCAGCCTGACAATTGAATGGCCATACAACCTGCTGGGTAAAATCAGGGAGGCCCAGATTCTGTCAGGCTAGGCATCCAGCAGGCACCGTGTACCAAAGGTCCACTGGAAACAGATGCGATGACGTACTAGCCACAGGTCAGCTAATCCCATCAGGACCAGGTGGCAACAACCCCCACCCCTGGGGGCCACAGGGCCCCCAAACTCTAGGGCTGTGGTGCCACTGCAACAAGCAGAAGCTCCTTGGCTCCTGACACATGAACGTGCACAGTCCGTCTACCCAATCTGCATCTCAACTGGCACGCAGTTCACCAAAGAAAAAGCAGTTCCAACGTCCGTTACGCTAATTTAAAGCCCCTCCATGTTGCCTGAGAGAAAGATCATCGAACTTGTGTGGCTCTCTCATTGGGGTCTTTCAAGTGATAACTAACCTGCCTGCGGTGTGTAGATTCAAACAAAACACCCACATGTCTGTCACTGTGCGTGCAAGTATCTTTTTTTCCCCGGATTTTAGAGTTTTAATAACTCTCTTGGAAATAACCTTTTCTCTTTTAAAATAAAAAAATAATAATATATACACATAGTTTAGAATGAAAACCACCCCCGCCCCCACCCCACTCCCCACCCTACCCGTCCGTCCTCAACCTCAGGTCTGCTCCTCAGAATGAGCTGGAAGTATCTTAAAGAAAATTATAGATAATACAGCTCTCACCTGCAAAGCACTCTCTTCATGGACTACTATAGAGCCTGAATTTTACCATTAAGGGGAAAAAAGGAGGCGGTGATGAAGCGTTTTCTTCTGAGTGTAACGGAGTGCACGTGCAAAGATTCAGAGGTGACACGATAGAACAGATTCAAGGAACTAAAAGAAATCCAATATGACAGGCGTGTCATTTCTAAATGAAGACATAATTCACATGCCATAAAATTTACCGATTTTAAGCATACAATTCGGTGGTTTTCGGGACATTCACAAGGCTGTGTGACCATCACCACTATCCAGTTCCAGAAGATTTTCATCACCCCAAAGAGAAACCCCATATCCATCAGCAATCACTCTGGGACCCCCTCTGCCCCCAGCCCCTGGCAACCACTAATCTACCTTCTGTCTCCATGGATTTGCCTATTCTGGACGTCTCACATAAATAGAATGATACAATATTTGCCCTTTTATGTCTCATTTTTTCACTAAGCATAGTTTCAAGGTTCATCTGTGTTGTAGCATGTATCAGAACTTCACACCTTTTGATGGTAGAATAATATTCCATGGTAGGAACAGACCACATTTTGTTTGTCATACATTAGTTGATGGACATTTGGGTTGCTTCCAGTTCAGGACTGTTACGAATAATGCTACTATGAGTGTTCGTGGACGAGTTTTTGTATGAACACGTGTATTTGATCCCCTTGGGCGTACACCTAGAAATGGAATTGCTGGGTTAAGCGGCAACTTCATGTTTAACTTGCTGAGGGACAGGAATGCGGTCCAAGGGCAGGACTGAGGACGGGCGAGAGAAGAGAGAAGCACCAGTTTGCTGGAGCTGCTGTAACAGAACGCCACAGCCTGGGGGCTCAAACAACAGAAATTTATCTTCTCACAGTTCTAGAGGCTGGAAGTCCAAGATCAGGGTGCCGGCAAGTTTGGTTTCTCCTGAGGCCTCTCTCCTTGGCTTGCAGACGGCCGCCTTCTCACTGTGTCCTCTCACTGTCTTTTCTCCGTGGGCGCACATCCCTAAGCTCTCTTCCTCTTCTTTTTCTCTTTTTTTTTTTTTTGAGGAAGATTGGCCCCGAATGCCCATTTGTTGCCAATCTTCCTCTTTTTTTTTTTTCTCCCCAAAGCACCAGTACATACTTGTATACCCTCGTTGTAAGTCCTTCTACTTTTTCTATGTGGGACGCCACCGCAGCATGGCTTGAGCAGCGGTGTGTATGTCTGCACCCAGGATCCAAACCTGTGAACCCCAGGCTGCCAGAACAGAGCACGAGAACTTAACCACTACTCCACCAGCCGGCCCCTCTTTCTCTTCTTATAAGGATCCCAGTCCTGTTGGATTAGGTCCGCCCCCCCCTTATGATCTCATTTATCCTTAATAACCTCCTTAAAGGCCCCAGCTCCAAATTCAGTCGCACTGGAGGTTAGAGCTTCAACATAGGAATTTGTGGAGCTGGGGGTGGGGGGGACCATTCAGTCCATAACAAGGTGATAAGGCAGGAGGTGAGTAGGGACCCGAACTAGACCACAAAGGGCCCTGGGGACATGTTTGGGGGCATTCCTCTTCACCTCCCCACTCCCAGGGGCCTCCCGGGCATCGGCTCCATGGAGAGCCCCTTTCTGTCCTTTACTTTGCAGACAGGACTAAGCGCTGAGCACAGCAATACGGAGCAGTTGCCCAGGTTGCCTGGGAAACGGGGGACCCAGCGGGAATCATTAGAGGGAAGTTGACTGGAGGGTGAGCGTGCCTGGGAGGGATGGATGCAAATTAGATACAAGAGACTTCTTTCTCAGGGCTTCTGAGAAAGAGCCTAAACCGGCACAGAGCAGTCCATTAATTCCTGCATTCAACAAATCTGAGGGCCTACTGGGCCCTGGGACCCTTGCAGAGTTGATGTTCTCGGCCTGCACTGTCCAAGACGGTAGCCACCGGCACGCTCTGCTCTTAAGCACTTGAAAGGTGGCTGGTCCAGACTGAGATGTGCCGAAGTATAAAACGCACGCAGACTTCGAAGACTTAATATAAAATATCTCACTAACACTTTTTGTACTGAATGCATGCTGAAATGATAATATTTTGATATGTTGGATTAAATAAAATACGTTGTTAAAATTAATTCCATCTATTTCCTTTTATTTTTTTTTTTAATGTGGCTCCTAGACATTTTGAAATGACCTATGTGACTTGCATTCATGTCTCACATTTTATTTCTCCCGGACTGGGCTGTTCTCCAGGCTCCACCTGGAGACCCTCTCTGATCAAGCTCATTCCAGTGGACATCACCAGAGGGGACCTTAACTTGGATCGCCATTCATGGAGATTAGGAGATTTGAAGCAAATGCCTCCAGCTGGTGACATCTGTTTTAAAATGAGCTGCAAGGACAGGAATTAATGGGAAAAGGAAGGAAAGAAAGAGATGAGATTGCACACAGCTGGGGAGACCGGAGAGGGTCTAAGGCCTGACAGCCAATTTCCAACTTGCCCTCTGCGATGGGCAGAATAATAGCCCCCCATAGATGTGCATGCCCTCATCCCCAGGCCCTGTCAGTGTCACCTTATATGGCAAAAGGGCCTTTGTGGGTGTGATTAAATCAAGAATGTTGAGATGGGGAGACAAGCCCGGAGGATCCAGGTGGGCCCAATGTGATAGCAAAGGTCCTTACAAGTCAAAGAGGAGGCAGGAGAGTCAGAGAAGGAGATGTGATGGTGGAAGCAGAGGCTCGAGCGAGGCCATTGCTGGCTCTGAGGACGGAAGAGGGGGCCATGAGCCAAGGAACGCAAGCTGCCTCTAGAAGCTGGAAAAGGCAGAGAAGTCGATGGTCTTCTCAGCCTCCAGACGGAGTGCAACCCTGTAACACCCTGATTTTGGCCCAGTGGGACCCATTTCGAATTTCTGACCTTCTGAGCTAGAAGATAATAAATTGGCATTGTTGTAAGCCACTAGGTTTGTAATAATTTGTTACAGCAGCTACAGGAAACTCATACACTGCCTGCCCGATATTTCTTTGAGTCATACTCCTCACTAGCTCAGAGAGCCATCTCCTTCTAAGGCATGTGGGGAAAGCCCTGGGTTGGGTCCTCAATTTTCCCTGTGGGTCTTTGGACAAGTCCCTTTTCTCCTCTACTAAGGTTGGGGGGCAAGGAGAATGGAAAAACTGTGGCGAGTTCTAGAGCAGAAGAGTGGCATATTTGTCCAGCTGGGCATCAGCATGGATGTTATTATTAAAACCGGGACAAAACAAGTGCCAGAGAACCAGACAGCTGTTTAATATGCTGAGTCCTTTACATAAGTCATCTCATTTAATTCTGAGAACAGCCCCATGAGTTAGATAACTATTATTATCTTTTTTTATTTTTTACTTTTTTTGCTGAGGAAGATTGGCCCTGAGCTAACATCCATGCCAATCCTCCTCTACTTTGTATGTAGGTCGCCACCACAGCATGGCTGCCGACAATTGGTGTAGGTCTATGCCCAGGAGGTGAACCAGGGCCACCAAAGCAGGGCATGCCAAACTTAACCATGAGGCCACAGGGCCAGCTCCCTTATTATCCCATTTTAAAGCTAAGTAAACCAAGGTCAGAGAGATTGAGTAACTTGCCCAAAGTCACTAAGATGGTAAAATATGAGTCAAGAGTCAAACCTCGGTTTACAGACTTCTGAGAGGCACCCTCTGCTAATGGAAGAGATCATGATGAACAGGACGGATCCATAAGTTTCCTTCATTCGTTCTTCTCACAGATAGTCGGGCCCCGGGCTTGGCTTCAGGGTAGAATGACTAACAACTCAGCCCAGATTCTTGCAGCATGGAAGTCACATTCTATTAGAAGGACGCCATCAAGTGAGAAATAAGCCGATCATGATGAGAATGATGATGACCATTCAGAGAGTCAGCTGAGAGGGGGTGCGCCTGGGATGCTGCTTTTTGTATCAATATGGGGTTCTGAACCTGAGGGCCCCCTGCCCTCCAAGGGGTGTCATGACCAAATTCACCATGTTTCCGGTCTTGATTTTCTTTGGCCATCCCCCCAAATACAAGCCCCTCTTGTCATCTCAGGTCCTCTCGTCTCCATCATTCTCTGTGTTGTCCTCCGTTCCACCCAAGTCCTGCCTCCCTCCATCCTTCCCAAACTCTTCCCCTGGGACCCCTCTAAGCCTCCCACTGAAGGCTCCCTCCAACTCGCTCCTTAACTGAAACCAGCTCCTTCCTCAAAGGTGACCCCCACCATCCTAACCGGAGGCATTTCATCCTCCACTCGCCAAACTACTCAAGGTCTCGGGGAGGACAGGGGTAGTGTGGACGTGCTGGGGAAAACAGGGAGCCCAAATCCTGGTAATTCACACAAACAAAGGTAGAGACTCACCTTTGCCCCGTGGCCGACATGGGCGGGCTGGGCTCTGCTCCGCGTCTTCTTTCATGGACCCAGGCTCTTCGCTCATGGGGCAGCCTCTGAAACACTGCCGGTCTCTGGCGAAGGGAGAAGAGACATGGCGGCCACGAGCCGGCTCTTGAAGCTTTGGCTCACAAGAGATGCGCATCACTCGTCTTCACGTTTCATTGGCTAAAGCGAGTCCTATGGCCAAGCTTGATATCAACTGGGTATCTTTCAGGAGAGACAGAAAATATCATGTACAATAACACAACCTGCCATTCCATGGCACCCTAATGTTGTTTCCAGATATTATTATTCCTTCTCTTATTTTTTATTTAAAAAAATAATAACTCTTTTTTTAAAATCCAGCTTCCCCTTAACAGACCTCCTAGAGTGACATCTGGACCCTCTTCTAGCTCCTTACAGTTTCTCTAGAAACCTGAGCGTCATGCTTAGCCCTTCGCTCT